TATATACAGTATCAAAGATAAGCCAAGACATATTACTATCTTAAAAAAAATCACTGAACAAGGATATTAATTCTAATTTTCCTTTTTTTAAGTCCAAAATATGTGGGGCAGGTGAGAAAGGAATGGGGGTATAAGGGTTTCTGTTTTTAAATATTTTGCAATGAGTATACAGTAAGTCCCCTACATATGAACCTTCAAGTTGTGAGCTTTCAAAGATGCAAATGTGCATTCCATCAATGTCATGCATAAATGAAACTGCAGCTTGCCCTCCATCTCCTATTGCTAATGAGCCTTCAGCTCTACCATCACCCACCCCCTCTTCCTCCCTTAGTCAGTAACTCTTCTTGCCCGTTCACTCAACGCCAGCCTCTGTATGCCAGCTGTTGCACTGTACTTTATAAGGTACTGTATTGAAAGATTAAAAATGTTTTATTTTTTTGTTTGTTTTTATGTACTATTCATGGGAAATTATTATAAGCCTATTACAGTACAGTACTGTACAGCTGATTCTGTTAGTTGGGTACCTAGGCTAGTTCTGTTTGTTGCACTTAAAAACAAACTGAACTTATGAATGTACTCCCATAACCAAACTCATTTGTATGTAGGGGACTTACTGTATACTTATATATTACTTGCAATTAAAAAGTATGTCTTTATAGCAAAAGATGTAGTTTTAAAGCAGAAATAGACTTAGAAAGGAAAGTTAAGCATCCCCCCACCCAGGGGAGGAAAATAGGACTTCCCATGAAAGAACCAGCCTCTGTCCCTAATGAAGCCCTTCTCTGGCTCTTGCTACAGATCATTTCCTATAACAACTTGGAAAAGATGAGGTTTCTAGCCCCTGTTCAGTCTCAAAGGACCTGCATAGCAGACCCCCAGTTACTGCAATGTCCCCAGAGGTCAGTGAAAACAGCCAAACATCCAACTAACTAGAAGAGTGAGAAGAGGGAAATCAGGAGGAGAGGAAATTTCCAGATTCTCCAACAGGAGGTTTGGACTCCCAAGACCAAGAAAGATTACAACAAGCTCTCCTTTGGAGGTCTCCACATCTTGATGCTGGCTCAAACCCAACTCTAGGGTTAAAACACCACTTTCTACCAAGTCCCTTATATTTCCCTTTAGCCACTATAGTCATTATTATTATTTTTGGCTGCACTGCACAGCATGTGGGATCTTAGTTCCCCAACCAGAGACTGAACTCTCACCCCCTACATTGAAGGTGTGGAGTCTTAACCACTGAACCACCAGGGAAGTCCCAGGCCATTTTATATATGAAAATATTGAGCTCCAAAGACGTGAAATGACCTACCTAAGGTTACACAGTGAGATAGATGCAATATCTGCCTTCAGAAACCTAATCAATCTTTGTTTTTATTCATTATTCCATATTGTTTTATTTCAAGTCCAACATGTGTTTTTGTCAACTTTCATCTTAATCCCAAACCCAATTCTAACCCACAGTGGACTCAGGTGCTTCTGGCCAATGGCAAGGGCTGATTTTGCTTTCTGTCCCTCCTGGTTTCCTCCTCCCATCTTATTACCTAGAAATCTACCTCTTGACCATGCTTCCTTCTGAGAAAGTGCAATCACAGGTGGGAGGGAAGGAGTGGAATTTGGTCCGAGCCTGAAGCGACTCCAAGGCAGCCTGGTTCTTTTCTGTACGTTGCAGAGGATGATCCTCACTAGGAAGGCTTTGGGGTTCATGCCAGTTCCCTTCTCCCTCTGGATTCCTTGCTAAAGCAACCTCTTGATCCTACCGATGGAAGACCAACAGGTTATCAGTGGCCATGATTTAAGAGCCTAAGACCCTGAGATGAAGAGCTGGAGCGAGATCATGAAAGATAATTTGTGGTGGGCAGGAATCCTGTAAACTGGGACACAGCAGCAGCTGAGTCCAGGGGTCAGTGTCTGGGAGTAATTTGGGAAAGTTTGGTGCTGACAGCTGTGTCTGGAGTCGAACGTCATGAACAAATCAGCTTCTGGGATCCTCAGAATGATGAAGCTCTGGCTCAGGACACACAGTCAGCTGTGGTGTGGCAGCAGTCATGGCCGCTGGGGCCCCAGACTCAGCCTTGCTGTTTCTCAGCTGCATGACTTCAGGCAAGTCCTTAGGAAAGGAAACTAGACTCTGCTGAGTGAGGGCAATGCCCTTTCACAAGCATCACTCTCACTGCAGATCAGGGTAGCACCCCTCTTTTACATGGGAATAATCTGAGAATCCACGAAGGTAATTGAAGACATTGCAGGCTATGTAACTGGAAAGTGGGAAGACAGGATTAGAACTCAGCCTCTGAGCTCCAGTCCTGGGCTCTTTCCTCTGAGCAGTCAAGTTTGTACCCACCTCACGATGAAGTCGCCCCATCGTAGGTTCTAAACTCTTCCCTTCTCACAACCTTGGTCCTGAGGAGTTGTGGCCACCTTCTTGGGGATGGAGCAGTCATACTTTTGCCCCTGTGCTCAATCTGGTTTGGGGGGTCTAGGCCCCAGGGGGTGCCTCGAAGGGAGGGTATTTGGACTTTGGTTTCCCTGTACCCCGTCCTCAGGCCTTCTCCCCAGGGCTGGCTCCCTTTCCTCCTCCTCCTCGGGTTTTGGCAGGCAGACTGACATCAGTGGGTGTTCCCAGGGAAAGGGAACTCTGAGCCCAGCTCCAGGCGCCCCTTCCCCCATGGCTCAGGGCAGCCGCAACCCCCAGCCTTAGAGACTGCAGCGTAGAGAAGCCCTCTGAGCTCCCAGCCCACTTCCTCTTTTCATTATCCCCCCACACACTCCCACCACCTCACCGAGAAAGAAAAGGGGCCACTAGAGTTCGGGGAGCAAATGCTCGGAGACCTGACGAGTCCTGGGCGCCACGCGGCCGAGCCCAGGAAATGGATCACGGTTCTGGGGTTACGAGGGGAGCTGTCCAGCCCCGCGGGGTGAACTAGCAGAAGGGGTGGGCCAACGCCGGCCAGGCGGAGGGAGCGGCGGGCGCCAGGGCCGGGTGGGGCAGCGACTCCCCCTCCAGCCCGCCGGCCCCGGGCGTCGCCCCCGCCCCCCACGTGGCCGCAGCCGTCCCAGCCCCCGCGAGGAAGCGGCGCGGCTTCCTGCGGCTTGGGACCGGGATATAGGCGCCCCCGCCCGGGCCCGGCTCAGCGCCGCCGCTCCTCCTTGCCTGCTTGCCGTGCGATGGCCTCGCTCCGGGCGGAGCGCGCTGTCGGCGGCCCGTGGCTCCCCGCCACCCGCGCCGGGCGACCGGCTGCGCTCCGCCTCCTCCTCCTGCTGGGCGGTAAGCGCAGCGCCCCGAGGTCCGGGCGGGAGGCGCGGGAGGCCCTGGAGGGGAGAGGGACTGGACGGCTTGGAACGGGCCCCGGCGTGCGGGTGCGGACCGCGCTGCTCTCTGGACGGTCCCCGGCCTCACCGAAGCGAGGGCGCAGCGCGGCAGCTTCCCACCTGGGGAAAAGCTGAGATGCCCGGGGCCCCTGTAGAAAGCTCTTGGGAGGTCTGGAGCTGGCGAAGAAGGAGGGGTTTTGAATGTGTGAAGGAATTGGTGCGGCCCCCTCTCTTCCTGGCACCGAGGCACCCCGTGGGGGCCTGGATGGCTGCTCTGTCTCTTCTGAGAGTAGCCCTAACTTTCAAGTCTCAGACCCCAACCCACACCCCGCTTCTTCCTGGTTTCACATCCCATCCTCCCATCTCCCTGTCCCTTTTCTGCCCACAGCTGTCCTGAAGCCCCAGGAGTCCCTGGCTCAGCTTCTTCCCACCCCAGACGGCTCCAAGTCAGAAGGTGAGTAGCCAGCGACTGTGGGATGGTGGTCCCCGGCAAGGAGGAGAGAGGTGAGTGGGGAGAGTTTCTTTCCCACAAGCCAAGCCCCAAACCCAATTGGTGCCCCTAAACTCCCTTCTGTTCTCTGTCTCAGGGTTTCTTGTCTTTCTACCTCTCATCCCACAAAGCCCCCAGCCAGCTGTGGCCCACCTCACAGGTGGGTTAGGATATTCCAGAAAAAGTGTATGTGGAAACTCTTGCCAGGCTGGAAAGTCCAGTGTACATGGAAGGCATTAAACTTTTACTGAGCTGGGACTCTCTCTTCAGCTGGGAGTATCTTGCTTGGGAAATTTTCTGAGGCTCTCTGGGTAGTTCCCATATATGAAGATAGGAACAGTGGTTCCACAATGGAAGTACCTGGATCAGAGGGTTTGGAGGGTGGGGCAGGATATGGTCAATGTGCAGCATCTCTGCCCACAGGGAAAACGGTGTTGGAGACCTATGGGACAAATGTCCTACAATGCTGGCACGATTATGAGGTTCAAATGGACTCTATCAAGAAGGACTGGTGTGATTGGGCCCTGATTAGCAGGTAGGGGCAGTGCTGGAGGGCGGCTTGGGCCAGGCGTGGGGCTTGCTCCCTGTGGGTGAGTGAGTGTGGGGCAGTCCTCTTTCTGGCCCCAACCCTTCCCTCACTCTAGTCCTCTCCTGTCTCTAGGCCTTATAGCTTCCTTCGAGACTGCTTGGAAAAGGGTGCAGAAGAGTTTGGCCTGGGCTTCCCCAATCCCTGGGCAGAAGCGATCATCTTTGAGACTCACCACATCCACTTTGCCAACTGCTCCCTGGTGCAACCCACCTTCTCAGATCCCCCAGAGGATGTGCTCCTGGCCATGATCATAGCCCCCATCTGCCTCATCCCTTTCCTCGTCACCCTCGTGGTGTGGAGGAGTAAAGACAGTGAAGCCCAGACCTAGGGTGGCAAGAGCTGTTTGGCAGCCATCTTACTTCTTTCCTTGGCCACCACCTGGTCTCTCCCCTCCCCTCCCTACTTCGTTCTCTCGCTCCCACCCTAACTGGAGATTCTTAAATTGGTGGAAGTGGAAGCTGGGTGGGGTCATCGTGCAAGTTCTGTAATCTTCAAAATAAACCTTTTTTTTTTTTTTCGGACGTTCCCCTCTCCATTCCAGTGGGAGCCTGTGTCCTTCCAGAGACTCTGCCATTCCCACAGGCCCTTAGCTCTGGGCAGGAGAGCTAGAAGAATCTAGATAGGTCCACTGTTTTGTTCCCTTACTGGCCCCTCCTGAACTCCCTCCCCCACCTGAAGGCCACGCCCCTATATCCCTTCCTCCCAAGGCCAGGCCTTTCCTGCCCTTACCCAAACCCAGCTTCAGGAAACTTGCAGGAAGAGACTCCCTTCCCGTCTGGAGAGCAGCTGGGGAGGTGAGGGGGGTGGGACGAGAGAGGACTCTCCGCTGTGACTTCTGCAGGGAGGGGGTGCCATCCAGAAGCCCTCAATTTTCCGCTTCCTCATGCCTCAGTTTACTCCTAGGGCCTGGTAATAGAAGCCCTGATGGAATCAACGGTAGTCCATCCCTAAGGACCTCAGGATGGAGGGCAAAGGCAGTGGGGGCTTCCTCTACTAGACTCACCACAGGACTTCCCCTCCAGGTCCTTGGCCCTCATCCTACATTGTCCTGGACCCTGGGTGGGTGTGGCCTACAGCCTGGCTATACACTGCCCTCTGGTGTCCACTAAAGCCAACAACCAGAAGATGGACATGGCCTGGAAGAAGCTCAAAACAGTTGTGAGATCAAAGACCTGTTATTCCCACAGCAACCACTAGTTCTTCATTGGCTGCTTCTTTTAGCTTCCTCAGCCCTGTTTATGCTCCCTTAAGACACTTTCCCACTGTTAAGGGCCATACCTAGCAAGCGACCCACCATTTCTGTATACAGACACTCCTGTATGTTCCTTAGATGGTGAGGCCCAGGTCTCACCACAGAACCTTCACTTTCAGTTCTCCCTGGGACAGACCTGCCAGGTCATCAGAAACATCTAGACAGTAGCTTTGTTCTTTACAAAATGACACCTGTAAAAAAATAAAACGACACCTGTTTATTCCTTGAGGCAACTGGCACCTCTTTAGGAATTCTCCTTCCTTCCTGGTTGAAATACCTGCCTCCCTGAGTACATAGCCACTTCCTGGGACATGCCTGTCTATTCCACAGATACATGTGTGTACATATATATGTGTGTGTGTGTGTATATATATATATATATATATATACTTCCTGGAATATATCTATTTATTCTCTGAAACACACTTCTCTCAAAACACATCTGTCTCTCTAGAAACACCTATCCCTAGGACATTTTGAGGTTCCACCATGAGAATCTTTGCTCTATTTCCATAATACATCTATCTTCTCCAAGGATGTATCTGTCCTCTTTTTGGCCCATATTTGCCTTCATGCATCTTACTAATATACAACAAAAGCATGCCGGCGTAAGTCACTGTAAATGGCCTATTGTGTTGGGAAGACAAGTTAGTTAAGGCTTGGTTCTGCTTTGATGTCTTTCATCTGGCAAGGGAGCTGACCTGTGCACAAATAAACAAAAACAATGGAATGTGTGATGAGAATCATGCAAGGAATACAAGCCAAATGTCATCTGAGTGTTAAGGAAGGAGTCACATTTAGCTAAGGTGCAGTCGAGGTGAGGTCATAGGAGGGTGACTGTGGAGTTGGCATCTGACTAGGCCTTAAACGGAGAGGAATCTCCTATGGGAGACAGTAGAAAAAGAGATGAATTAGACAATTATTGCAATAACCCAGGTTTGAGAAAACAAGGGCATGAACCAAACGAGTGCTGAATGAAGAAACAGAAAATAATTTAAAAGTAGGAAAAGGCAAAATAGGGGAGGGAATTCATAGGGTTTCAATATGAAGGTGAACAAGAGGAGAGGTTCGAGCTGACTCTGGCTTTGAATTTGAGTTACTAGGACAATGATGGAAGTAATAATATTTAAAGGGCCATTAAGAGGAGAAGCTGGCTTGAAGAAAAGGATGTATAATATAACAATGGAACAAGATGTAACGAACCATAGGGAGTTGGAAGTGGGAGTGGTCTTGTTGCTGCAGGTAGTAGAAAAAAGTTGGAGTTAGGAATACAGGTTTAGGAGTCCCCTGCAGAGAAATGCCACGTGAAGCCATGAGAAGGATGAGAGTTCCCAGAGAGAAGGTGTACTAAAGAAAGCTGACATCCTTAGAAAACATGCACACATATACAGTGAGGACTAAAGAATACAAAAGGGAAAGATCAGAATCAGCAGAACAAGGATAAAGCAAAGCCAATGGACGCAAAGGAGATGGTGCCCTTTGAGAGAACATTATCCACTGAAGGGTTCACTAATTTAGTCATTCAACAAATATTTATTGGACACTTCTGTGGACCAGGGACTGTACACAGTAAAGGATGGACTTCGGTGGGGGAGATGTTAGAGATCAGACAGGAAATTGAGGGTGGTAGAGTCAAGGAAACTACAAATTTTCAAGTAGGGATGACCTCAGCATATGTAGACTAGAGGAGCCAGGAGAAAGGGAAAAAGAAGGGAAGATGATGCACAGACAAGTCCTGGAGGAAACTGGAAAGGAGAGGCAAACAGATGCCAAAGGGTTGGCCTTGTCAAGGGGGTTCCCTGGCTGTCCAGCCGTTAAGACTCCGCACTCTCACTGCTGAGCTCGGGTTCAATCTCTGGTCTGGGAACTAAGATCCCACAAGCTGTGTGGAGTGGGCAAAGGAGTAAAAGTGAAAGAAATTGAGAGATGAATTTGAGTATGGTGACAGAGAGGAAGGACTAAGAGGTTCACATGCATGGCCTCAATCTCATAAAAATAGAAGAGATGGGCATTCTGCAGAGAGGCAAGAGACGGGAACTGGTGGAATGGCTTGATGTGTGTGGAAAATTTTGAAAAGTTACCTTAAGGAATGTGACAGGGAATCAATAAAAGACAAAGCATCACTGGACTGCACTGATAGAACAACAGTGAGGTCAGTCAGGGAATCTGAGGCTCAGTCAGAAAGTTCTGGTGATTTTTTTTTTCCCCTGTCAGTAATACTCCAGGGCTAAGGCGTGAAAAAAAGATTGAGGAATAGGTGGGCAGCGATCGACAACTCTGGTTTGGAAAATGAAGAGCAGGGAGGCAGGCAAGGGGACAGAACTGAGTAGTCTAGGCTAGGCAAGAAGTCATATAAGACCAATACGGTCCCTGGACTTGAGACTAGAAAGTAGAGGACATGGGAGAGGTGAGACAGAGGTGGCTATGCTCAAATATGGCAGCTCTGAATCATGGAAGCAGAGCCATTTCCAGGGATAAAAGCTACAAATAAGCTCATGGGGAAGATGGAGTCGAAGGACACAGGAATTGATGGGAACTGTGAGGGGTTAAGTTAAAAGCGACACAAACGTTAATATTAAAAGAAGCCCCGTATAGTGGAAACAAGCCTAGGCTGGGTTCTGGAGACCTGGGTTCTGTTTGCAGTTCTAACCGTGCCACTTTGGGGAAGTCACTTCCCTCTCTGACATGGAATCAGAAGACTTCTCGGGGCCCTTTCTGCTCTAGCCCGTAAGGATATGGGATAATGGCAAGAAACCGGCTGACGAAGATCCCTCCGGTCGGGCCTCCTCTCTCCCCAGAGGCTCCCGGAACCTTTTTGCAGCGCTTTCGGTCCGGACGTGCCGGAGCGGAGACCGGAAGTCCTCTGCCGGCGGGTTCCGGGTTTCCTGGGCTACTACGATGGCGATGAGTTTCGAGTGGCCGTGGCAGTATCGCTTCCCACCCTTCTTTACGTGAGGCTTAGACCCCGAGAAGCCCCGTTGGACCTCCCTCCCCTCCCCTGGACCCCGGGCTCAGCCCTAATGCTTCAAATGGGGAGGGGGAGAATGGACCCGGTCGCCACTATCCGCAGTCCCTCACTTTCTTCCCCGAATGCGCCTCTGGCAAGTGCTGCCGCTCGCCCTCTCTCAAGTCCTCTAATTTTGCGCCCCACCCGCTTCACCCGGCAGGTTGCAGCCGAACGTGGACACTCGGCAGAAGCAGCTGGCCGCCTGGTGCTCGCTGGTCCTGTCCTTCTGCCGCCTGCACAAACAGTCCAGCATGACGGTGATGGAAGCCCAGGAGAGCCCGCTCTTCAACAACGTGAAGCTCCAGCGTATCCTCCCTCGGGCGCTTCCACAGCCCACACACATGCACTTCTACCTTTCCCACATGCCCAGACTTCACACTCCCTCTCACTCACAGAAGACAGGTTCCCATCCAGACCGGCCTTGGGAAAGAGCCCTTTTGTGTAGCTGACATCCATTCCCGCCCCCTCGCCCCCCACCCCCGACGCCAACCCCAATGCAGCACCAACCCCCTCTTGTCCTAGACAGTGATGAGTACCTAGGTGTCGTTCAGATCTTACAATTTCGGCCCTGAAGCCAAGTACCAGGGTTTTTCAACCTGAGCCTTTTTTACTTGTTTAAAGTTAAGTCCTCTGTATGAGGCTCAAACTCTAGCATTACCTTTAGTAATTTTCTCCGCCTACTCCCCTCACCCCAGGAAGAAAGGATGGTTTTCTTTTGCTGCCTAGTTCATCCTTGAAATATCTGGACAATGGTTGGAGGAAGGAGAGAGGACAGGGAGTGCGAAATGATAGTACCTTTCATTCTCTAAAGCTTTTTTTAAAAAACAAAAACAAAACACTTTTTCTTTTTTGATTGGCATCTTAGGGCCCACTGCATTGAAAGCGCGGAATCGTAACTACTAGACCACCAGGGAAGTCCCTAAAGCTTTTCCTTTTAATCAGACTAGTTTCTCTTTACCTTCCTCCTCCCCAGTATGCAGGAAATTGCAATTTACATCCTGTTGTGGAATTGCACATCTCAGTGTGTAGGAGGGAGAAGAATGGTACTTGGTAGCATGAGCCTGGCTGTGAGAAATTTCATCCCACCAGTTCATTCCTTTAATGCCGTTCCCTTAACCTTAAACCAGGGAAGCTGCCCGTGGAATCAATCCAGGTTGTCTTAGAGGAGCTGAGGAAGAAAGGTGGGTTCAGTTCATCAGATTCCTTATTTTTCTTCCTAGTGGGGTTTTCCTGCGGGCAAATTAGCACAAGTCTTTTCTTCTAAGGACTTTTTTTTTTCCTCTCCTGGCTTGGAACCCAGAGTGTTCTGTACAGTAGCCCAATTCCCTAGGTTCTTTTCCCCCACTGGCTTACAAAATTGAAATTTCTCCATCTGTGCTCCAAGACCTGAAGAAGAGAATGGATGCCTTGCAGATAGTAAAACAATTTTTGAATTGCTCTTTCTGAAAGCTGAGTCTCTTCCACTCTGTTCCACCTTTAGTTTGCCTCTTTGTCTCTTCTTGGAGCACGATGCTTTCATAAGTATCTTTTGCAGGGAACCTCGAGTGGTTGGATAAGAACAAGTCTAGCTTCCTGATCATGTGGCGGAGGCCAGAAGAATGGGGGAAGCTCATCTATCAGTGGGTGAGACTATTCTGACACAGTGACCCATGGCAAAGGAGAATGACTCTATGCTCAGCAGATAGCTGATGTTTTCAGAGCCACACTGAGCAAAATGGGAGAGGGCAGAAAGAGGAAATGTAGGTCTTCCAGGCAGGCCTCTTTCAGTGACTCAATTTCCCTGGCTGCAAAGAACTTCCCTGTCTTTGCCAGTAGAAGGCCAGGGGCTGTGTGAGGCCATGTTTGGAGAATGCAGTACTGGGAACCATGAATACCGTTGTTGGCTGGGGCCTCTGGCCACAGAAGATAAATGGGGAAAGGAAGAGAAAAAAAAAAACACAAAAACCTGGACCCCCTCCCCCACCACATCCTTATGGGGCTGCCCACAATATAAATGAGACTTTCTGAACCAATGTGGGTGTGGGGACAGCCTCTCTCCCCTGCATTCCAGGTCACCACCAGTCCTGAACATTCCCAAGAGAGAGAGGAGGGGAAGAAGCATCAACAACCCAAATATAACAAATACACACCACCCATTCCTGAACAGGAAAACAACCAGGATGAGAGGTCATTCCTCAGACACGTGAAGGCCTGTGGTTTAGTGGTTCTGAGCATGTGTGTACATGTATAAATATAGCACCTGTAGGGTTTGTGGGTTTTCGGCCACTCCTCTAATGAGGTGACAGCTCTGGTTTGGGAATAAGTATCATTCCTGGGTCAGAGAGGTGGAGCTGGTGAGTTTGCCTTCTCCCAGGAAATTCCTGGGTCTTACTCAGTCCCTGTATTCTGTGTCCATAGGTTTCCAAGAGTGGCCAGAACAACTCCGTGTTCACCCTGTATGAACTGACCAATGGGGAAGACACAGAGGATGAGGGTAATGCTTTTCCCTCTCCCCCAGTTTTGTCATGTGAATTCTCTCTAATCTTTGTTTAGTTGACATTCAAATTTCCCATGCTTTTGTCTCTAAATTCCAAATACTAGATAATACAAAGGTTGTTAACCCATGTGCAAGATGCTTGTAAACCACCTGAATTCACATGCAGAACACCCACAGTCTTTGTCTGTGGGGGTGTATATGCATTTCAGTTCAGTTCAGTCGCTCAGTCATGTCTGACTCTTTGCGACCCCATGAATCGTAGCATGCCAGGCCTCCCTGTCCATCACCAACTCCCGGAGTTTACTCAAACTCATGCCCATCGAGTCGGTGATGCCATCCAGCCATCTCATCCTCTGTCGTCCCCTTCTCCTCCTGCCCCCAATCCCTCCCAGCATCAGGGTCTTTTCCAGTGAGTCAACTCTTCGCATGAGGTGGCCAAAGTATTGGAGTTCACTTTCAGCATCAGTTCATGAGATAAAGTCCATATTTTAAGACTTAAAAAAAAATTTTTTTTGGCCATGCCACAGGGCATGTGGGGATTCCCCAACCAGGTATTGAACCTGTGCCCCCTTCAGTGAAAGTGTGGAATCTTAACCACTGGACTGCCAGTGAGGTCCTCCATGTTATACGATGTTGAAGGGTGTCTGTGACCCATGAAAAGTTAAGAATTATTGGTGTAGATGCCGAATGAGGAACCAGGGCAGAAGATTAAGCCTGAAATCTCCATTCCTTGTTGATTCAGGCCTTCTTTTACCCTTTATTCATATAGAGGGTTCAAGATCTGTGGGTGTCAGCTGAAGGGATTGGGCCAACACCCCCATCCCCAGTCCTTTAGAATACTTTGGTTTCTGGCCAGACCGGGATTTGTATACTCTTTGATTTAAATACTCTTAGCTCTTTTATCTCTGACTCCATATGTTGATCCCCAGGATCATCAGAAGTACCAATCTGAGCTGGGTAAAGGGGGCACCTCCCCTTTCTGCCAGGCCTGACTGCCCCAACAGTTTACAGTGCTTGGCTTTCCCCCCTTTCCTGCAGGCCTCTGCTTGCTACTCCCACCATCATGTCATGACTTCAGTGCTGCAGCCTAGCCCAGCCCACCACTCAGGCCAGGCAAAGCTGAAGGCTTCCTTGGAAAGCAAGCTCCCTGACTCAAGAGCTGGGCCCTGCAGGGGGTGTGGTGTGCAAGCCTGTTAGGACTTGCCTGCTGCCTCTCACAGCTCCCTGCAGTATCTTGCTGTGTCTCCAGATACTCAGCTGGCCCTTGGCTCCCAGTGTTGTTCTTTTTTTTTTTTTTTCACTAGGATAGGGCAGATATCTGTGCTGGACCTTTGCAGTCTCCTGGCCAGAAGCATGGCTATAACTCTCTGTGTTAGGATAGGTCCTCCCAATGGGTACAGATGCAGTTAGGGACAGCATCCAGTGACAAGAGCCTTCACCTCCCTGGACTTGATTATCAGGACCCCTTTTTTGTGGCTCACAAGCAAATGGGGTTATTCTTGAATATTGAGACATTAATGGGGGGATCATGTGAGTGTGTGTGCAGGCTTTGAGTCTGACAGAGGAAACAGGAAGGGGGGGAAATAGCGTGAACTCTCGTTTCATGTTGACTCAGGCTTTCTTCCACCCCTTACTCCTGAAGAATACCCAGAAAGGGTGGGTGGTAGCGGTAGCAGTACTGATGGCCTGGAAAGTTCTCTGCTTCCAGCTCAACTGCTCTCCTCAGAGGCCTTGAGCCCCTAGGAGCTGCATGTCCCTGACTGCCCATCTTTCCTTGTCCAGAGTTCCACGGGCTGGATGAGGCAACCCTACTGCGGGCTCTGCAAGCCCTCCAGCAGGAGCACAAGGCCGAGATCATCACCGTCAGCGATGGCCGAGGTGTCAAGTTCTTCTAGCAGAGACCTGTGTCCCTTTACTTATTACCTCCTACCCTGCCAGGGCTTTCAAAGGGAGACAGACCAAGTGTCTCCACAGACTGGATCTATGACTCCACCTGACTCAAAAGGGCTCTAGTCCACGGGTGGGTTTCCTAATTATCCCATTTGTCTGTCCCTGGGATCCAGTGAGGCTGAGGTGCCAGGGAGGGAAGATGTGCTTCTCCTTGTCCCACCTCTCCTGAGCCAGGGTCTGAAACCCAACACTTCACTTGTGTCATACACGTAAGTACACACACACATGGCCTGCACAAGCTTCTGTCTCTTTCCCCACCCCCACCCTCCACCCCCTTAGCTGCTACTGCCTGCTCTCTCAGGCTGGTGCTGGATCATTCCTAGGGGATGGGCGAAGCCCTGGCTGCAGGCAGCCCTCCAGGCAGTGTGAAGATAGAAGGCCCAGGAGGGGGCCTGGCAACGAGAGCTGGGACCCAACACTGATTTATGATTATTAAAAAGCTTAACCCCACTGCTTACTGCTGAAGTTACTACTGGAGTGTGCAAGGGGAGTACTGTGATCTGTGAACCACGCTGAGTGAATCCCCACCTACCTTAGGGGAGAGGGCCTCCGGCACTGGTGGACTCACTGAGCCTGAGGGTTGACATCTGCTGGGTGGGCTGTGTGGGGGAGTGCTGATAGAACACAGCTTGAGGACAGACGGCTTTCTGTCTCTGCAGTGGAGTAACTTAATGGCTTCCCCTCCCTCACCGTCTCCCTGTGGAAGTCCTGAACGACGCCGAAGCCCCTCCCTCCATCCATCTGCTCTGGGTCGGGTAGTTGAGGCCAAGGGGAGCTGAGGGGGAGTAAACCGGATATGGACTTTGGTTTATTGGAAACTTTGGCAAACAGAGGGGTGAGGAAGGAGAGCCCACAGAGCAAAAACAGCCACTTTGGTCAGGGCCAGGCTGTGGTTAAGGTGGGGAGTGGAGAGGATGGGTGACCCGGTCCTTGGTTTGGGGGAGGGGCCGGCTCTGGGGTGCACACACCCATCCCTGCGCAGCCCCGAGGGACTGCGACATGGGAGAAAACCAGATCTTTCCATTGACCTCTGTATTGTCGTCCCGAGGCCATTCTGGACGATTAGGAGGGGGTGGCGCTACCTTATCTGGGGCGTGCAGACGAGTGGTAGCCTCCTCCTCACCACGCCCCTTTTCTAGGGTCGGGGAGCCGCGGTCACGTTTCATCTCCCTGTCCTAGTACCGTGCTCCCCCAAACAGGTCTGCGCACTCTTAGTGCGCGAGGACACACCGCCTCTCCCCGGGCTCCAGCTTCGGAAAGAGACTGAGGGCGGGTGCTCCGGGAGGCCAGGAGGAGGAGGGCCAGCGGCCGGGGGCGGGGCAGTGGCAGAGGTGAGGGGCTGCGCCAGGGGTTCCACTGTACAGGCAGCTCCGAGGGGGCGGCTCTGGGGGGTAAGGGCGGGGCGGGGGCGGAGCTGCGGGGCAGGCCAGCCGGGGCTGGGGCCCCAGTAGCTCAGCCGGAGCACTGCGCACCCAGCCAGTCGTCCTGTCAGGCCGCCCGGCTTACCGCCTGCAGCGCCCGGTCCTTCCTTATGCTGGCATCCCCGGCCCCAGACACCGAAGTCCCCATGTCCCAGGCGGAAGCTGACCTGCCCCTGCGGCCCCCGCCGCCCCTCGCCGCGGCGGGGCCGCCCCGCCTCGGGCCCCCTCCCCGCCGGGTGCGCCGCTTCTCCGGGAAGGCTGAGCCCCGGCAGCGCTCTTCCCGTCTCAGCCGACGCAGCTCAGTCGACTTGGGGCTGCTGAGCTCTTGGTTCCAGCCAGCCTCACCCGTTCCGGAGCCCCCTGAACCGCCGGACTCCGCTGGTTCCGGCCCGGCGATGAGCCCACCGCCCAGTGCCGAAGAGCCCTCTGAGGGCACGTGGACCGCGGGCGCCCCAGTGAAGCCTGCAGACTCCGAGCGTTCGGAGCCCGCGGGCTCCACAGGAGGGTCGGGGTCCCGGGAACAGCCGAGGATCACCGAGGCGGCGGCAGCCCGGGAGCGGCGGCGGGAGCAAGAGGAAAAAGAGGACACGGAGACCCAGGCTGTGGCAACGTCCCCGGACGGCCGATACCTCAAGTTTGACATCGAGATTGGACGTGGCTCGTTCAAGACGGTGTATCGAGGGCTGGACACCGACACCACGGTGGAGGTGGCCTGGTGTGAGCTGCAGGTGCGGCTGGGCGCCCCCTCGGTGACGCCACGGGACGGGACCTTTGGAGGTCTTGGGATGGGAGATCCAGGGAACAGCAGCAAGGGGGATGTATTTTTCCAGTCAAATGTCTGGACACTTGTCCCACTTGCTCTGATGGTCCATGGACCTGGCTGATTCCAGGCTGCAGAAGGATAAGCTGAGGCAGGTGGTGTGTGGTAGCTCCCCTGTGGATATAAGACATTCTTACTTTACAGGCTCCATCTCAACCCTGAGAGCTGGAAAGAAAATAAGATGGGAAATTGGGTAGGGAGCCAGCTCAGACCTGAGGGGTGGCTCACCATTTTCCTGCAGTGGTTACCCACTGTCTCCTCCTCTCCCTTCCCCTTAAGTCCTGAGACCCTCAGTGTGACCCTGATCCTCCTTTTTCCTTGCCCTGGATCTTTGCAGATTAGAAGGCTGGAATGATGGATGGAGGCCAGGATCTGGGACAGGGTCGTCTCCATTTCCAGAAGATGTAGGGCTATTGTATCAGGACAGGGCCTTCCCACATCCCTTCTGGAACAAACTTCTGGACTTCCCCATGGCTGGGGGAAGGGGAGACAGGGAGCTCCAGCCCTGGCCTGAGTCCAGTTCTGCTCCTCATCCTACTGCCTACCTGAGCTATCCTCTCCCCAGACCAAAAGCACTGAGTCCCATGGGGTTTAGGGGTATGCTGGCTTGAAGGACCTTCCTCCCATAGGGGGGAAACCCAGTTAAGTCTGAGCTTTGGATTCATATTGAGGGGACAGAGCCTGGAGGAAGGGTCCTCCCCTCCAGCCCTGGCACTGAGCTTGCCCCTTGTGCCTGCCAGTGCCACACCCCAGGCTCTAGGCCAGGCCAGGAGAAGCGGCCAAACCAGGGGTGGGAGGGTGGGGAGGGAGATGGGGGAAGGCAAGACAACTATGGGGCAGGGGGCGGTCTCCTGGCACCTGGTCTTGGATGCCTTCTCTCTTTGTCTGTACCTCCCTCTGCAGCCCTTCTGCCTGGATCTAGCAGTTACCAGTTTCTGAGGCCAATCCCCTTGCCGGCCCCAATTCTCTGCCCGCCCGCCTGCCTACTGCCCGCCTGCCGCCTGCCCGCTGCCAGCCCCGGGGCGTCCCTTCCCGCTCCACGGCCGGCCTGGGCGGCTACAAAGGCGCTATTGAGTTCAGAGCTCCTGGACCAGGCTGCATAAAAGCTCTTGTGTCCATAAGGGGGTCCAGGGGGCGGCCCCAGGCCCATAGTGGGCGTGTCCTTGGAGCGGTCCAGCGGGGGCAAACCAGGAACTTGGGGTCTACAATCCTGTTGGCGAATGATGACACCCACCCAGTCCCATCCGTTGGCTCCTACCCTCACCACTCCTCCAAGCCCCGCCTCATGTGTCCCCGTCCCCCTCTTCGTGGGGGCCCTGGGCCTGAGGTGACCGTGACCCCCGTCCCCTACCCCACAGACTCGTAAACTCTCTCGAGCCGAGCGGCAGCGATTCTCAGAGGAGGTGGAGATGCTCAAGGGGCTGCAGCACCCCAACATCGTCCGCTTCTACGACTCCTGGAAGTCGGTGCTGAGGGGCCAGGTTTGCATCGTGCTGGTCACCGAACTCATGACCTCTGGCACGCTCAAGACGTGAGCTCCGCGCCTGCTGGTGGTAGTTGGGAGGACTGGTGGTGGGAGGTCGCCACTGCTTCTGGAGGAGCCCGGCCTCCTCAGACTACACGCAGGTCCCAAACCGGGCTCACTTTCTCTCATCCTCGCCTCTTGAGCGTCTGGAGGCCTGCAGTGCCTCCTAAAGAGTCCTCCACCATGCTACCTCTCTCCTCTCCAAGCTAGCCTATCTTCCTGCAGCGCGCGGGAATCTGGGCTTATCACTTCTCTCCTTAAAACGCTTCGACTTATCCCACCGCCCTCCGGATAAAGTCCATTCTTTCTTGCGACTGCTCACAAAGTCCCTATAGGATCCAGCCTACGCTCCGGACAAATCAAATTCCCAGCACCTCCTCCCACCCTGCGCCGTCACTTGTCTCCGTGCCTTTAAGCACGCCTTCCCTTCTGCCTGCAAAGTCTTCATCTCTTCCCATTTTCACCCTTGAACTCCTATTCATCCTTCAAGACACCACAGAAAAGTTATTTCCTCTAGGAAGCCCTCCCCCACGTCCGGGGCAGCTAGTCATCCCTTCCGGCGCTTCCACGGCACCTTGGCGGCGGCCATATCTTGAATTTACCCGTTTTGTAACCTTCTGTCTACCCGCCACACCCCCTGACTGCCTTTCTGTCTGAGGCCGGGCGCGGATCTGTGCTAGGAGAAGCTAGCGGCCGGTGCGTGGGCGGGAGTGGGTGGGGCTACGGGGAGGGGAACTTCCCAGGGGTGGGCTCCCCCCGCATCTTGTGTGTCCCCCGCTATGACCCTAGCTGTGCGCGCTCCCCTAGATACCTGAGGCGGTTCCGCGAGATGAAACCACGAGTCCTTCAGCGCTGGAGCCGCCAAATCCTGCGTGGGCTCCATTTCCTACACTCCCGGGTACCCCCCATCCTGCACCGAGATCTCAAGTGTGACAACGTCTTTATCACCGGCCCTACGGGCTCCGTTAAGATCGGGGACCTGGGCCTGGCCACGCTCAAGCGCGCCTCCTTCGCCAAGAGCGTCATCGGTGCGTCCCTCCAGGAGGATCCTTGCCATTCCTACCCTCCGTCCCCTTCCCCTGTCCGGAGAGAGCCTGGGGACCCTCTCCCCCAGTAGATTTAGAAGGGGGTTAGAGTTAGAACCCCTCCACGGAGTTAGAAGACCACGGGGAAGATGGGAAGACTTGTGGCATGTTCTCTTCCCCACAACACCCCCACCCAACACACACACACACACACACACACACACACACACACACACCCAACACACCCACCCACACACCCCCACACACACACACACCCAACACACACACACACACACACACACACACACACACAATGAGACGGGGTGGGTCTCTTGCACTCCAGAATTCGCGGGGTTGCCCCCACCCCCGCTTGTACTTTCAAGGAGAGGGACGAAGCCAGAAAAGAGTCACTGACGTCTGCTGTGGATCCTGCAGGGACCCCGGAGTTCATGGCCCCAGAGATGTACGAGGAAAAGTACGACGAGGCCGTGGACGTGTACGCGTTTGGCATGTGCATGCTGGAGATGGCGACCTCGGAATACCCCTACTCAGAGTGCCAGAATGCCGCTCAAATCTACCGCAAGGTCACCTCGGTGAGAGAGGAGAGGGAATCACAAGTCCCCCTTCCATTTGCCTGTCCCAGCCACCCCGCGGTCATT